CTGCATCAACCAGGGTGTCGCGGTATCAGAGGCGCCACCGCCGGCGCCGGTGAGAAACCAGTCGTAGGAACTGCGGGCTGAGGTGAACATCAGGAGGTTTTCGATGGATTTGTGCAGGTTCACCTTCAAGTGGCTGGCAGCAGCCGCCACCGTCGAGGCACCATTTGTGGCCGACAGACAGGAGTCTGGCGGGCTTGAAACTGGTGAGAAGTACAGCAAGTAGATTATTTTTACTATTTCGATGGAGAAGTCATATTGGCAAAAACTGTTTTCAGTTATTCATCATCAGGTCGGTACAGTGACATGGAGAAGAAAAATGGTTATTTAATTGCAGCTTTATATAATCGTCAGGTTGGGGGGGAGGAGGGGGTTGCTGGGTGAGTGTAATTAAACATCTGGGTTTTCCCTCGTCTCCCGAAATCCAGTAGAAGTCTTTAAAAAATCACTTCTTCGGTAAATATTTTAAAAAAGACATCTTATTTTAAAAGTTTTGATAGGAACGTCGAACAAAATCTGGATTTATGGATGAAAGGTCGAAAAGACGCATGCGAAACTAACTGTAACGCTATAACGGAAATGTTTATATGAAAAAAAACTGGACTTAAGGAAAGTATTTTTGATTTAAAAATGCTATGGTTATCCATTAAACCGATTATAAGATGAAAATTTATTGTTCTAATTTATAGCCATTTTTGTTTCTGTGGAAATTGATTATTATTAAGAAAATTTTATTTTTCTGAAAAAACGATTGGGACTTTTTATATTTCTTTTAATTAGCAAATTTAAGATTTCGTACGTGCGATTATGCTGGTTTCCGAGTGATTATCAACCCTTTGCAAACGTCAAAATTTTGCATAACTCCCCGCCGTACAGTAAAGGAGAAATGTCATAAAGCACTTCGATTTCGTCTAGTTGATATAAAATTGTAATGTCTTTGCAGGCAGGGGTCCACGGAGATAACAGCAGCCACCCTCCGGGAGACCAACAGTAGTCGGCAACGTAGTTAGCGCGGCCAGCACGGGTATAATACGAGGCAGACGGCAAAACTGTTTAACTCAAGACCACCAGACGCGGCAACTACAGTACTCTGATGATGGAAGCGAGAAGGGCTCAGAAACGTCAGTTAAAATATAATTTGATCCACGAACCCGCCCCTTCTACCACTTGTTTGGAGGCGGTGAATGTGATACCATATCTGGACCTGCGAATCTTTACGCATATTAAGAGATAACACCGTACAATCTTTACGCCGAAAAGTTGTGTGGCGAATAAACCTCCACTTATGCTGGCTCACCCATTCGTGGCTTCTGCGCAGCGGAGTTTTGTCCCGCACGCCAATGGCCTGACCGCTGGTTGGTGTAAAGATTCCGCGCAGGACGTTCCTCAAAGCGACTGGATTTGCTGGGCGGTGGCTGATGCACCCGCCAAAAAGCACGCTCCTGCAAAAAATGAAAACAAAAAGAGTGATATGCATGCAGAAATTTAGTTAACCACCTCCGTTTAAATGATAGGTGCGCTTAGTTAATTTCTATTGGAAGTCTAAGTTAGTAAGAGCATTAGCCAAATGGGTAGCAGATGAGGCAAGATAGGACCTCGATTTTCCACGTTAAAATTCTTGCATATATTTCGTCAAGCGCATCCCGTTTAGGCTCCCTTTACCTTATGTCACAAGAAAGCTAAGCTGTGAAGGACACCCATCCACCATGCCACCTTTCGGCGTCTAAAGGGAACTATCTGAAGTCGACCTAATAGTGGATACCCATCAACAGAGACAGTCGCAGCTAGCTACGGCTGCTTCTGATGATGATGGGTTCGAGGGAGAATCCGAAATGCTAGGCCAATAAACGCCATGCTCCAGTCATTGCATCATCTTCTTCTGCACTGCCTTCTGGAAATCGCTTGCTCGCTCCTATCAGTAGATAGTGTTTGGCAAAACAAACTTCAACACAATTTAAATGAAGAAAGGAATAGTGTCATACAACTGAAAAGTCATTCGTGGTTGCTTAAAAGTAATGCTCCAAAAAAACGCGCTGGTATTAAATAAAAGTGTGAACCAAACAGAAAAGCTTGGACGGTCTTAGTAAGTAAAAGTTTAGGTGTTTATAAAAAAAAACGTTTTTTCGTCAGTAAAATATGCTATAAGTTATATGTGCGGCGTCTGCCGATTTATTAACACTGTTTGCTAATGTAGGTCTAGTTATTTTCTATTGGAAGTCCAAGATAGTAAGAGCATTAGCCGAATGGGTACCCAAGTCTGCAAGATAGAAGCTCGATTTTCGACATTAAAATTCTTCTGTGCACGTCGACAAATGCTTCCTGCTTAGGCTCATTTGACGTTATGCCACAAGAATGCTAAGATGTGAAGGACACCACTTCGCCATGCTGTCATATAAAGGAAATTTAATACTAGATACATTTCAGAAAAGGAAGAACTGAATCCGAAAAGTGAGGCCAATAAACGTCATGTTCCAGCGATCGCAGCTTTTTTATCTGAACTGCTTTCTGGAAATCGCTTGCCTGTTTCTATCAGTAGATCGTTTTTGGCAAAACAAAGTAATATTGATTAGCACGCGATTTAATCTCAATATACTTACATTGGCTTTTGTCAATCAGCAAGAATCATATTCTGTAAAAAATGGCTACTTAAGAAGCATGCATTTTTTTCATTGATTTCCACTGCCCTAATAAATGGAAATATGGTTCATAGAAAAAAGCAGAAATGTATTCTTTTTTCTACTAGCTTGATAGAAATTGTCTCCTTCAGCTTCTATATTTAAAAAGGGTATAATTCGGTTTTTATAAAAATTCTAATTGTCGGATTTTTTGAGACCATGAAATGTGAATTCATAAATCAACGTGCTGGTCCATTTTTTAATGATCCTTCTGAGTTATGCAGCTTGGTCAACATATTATGAAGACTATTTAGATTTTTCCTCACCTTGTAGGGAAATGTTCACTAATTTGAAGACAGAATGGATAGAGCGCATACTTTTGAGGCCTTAAATTCAAGTATAATGGCCGGTAACGTTCACAATTATTAGGCAATTGGGAATTTTTTTAAACCGGAAGATACCCTTTATGTTAATATAAGAGCTTACGAAGGCGTACTTTTCTGCCAATTGAGTAGAAATAATAATATTTTGTGCATTTATTTTGTAAAATACATGTGAATTTATCAAGACAGTGAAAATCAATGAGAAAAATGCGTACTATTAAGGAAGCCATTTTTACAGAGTATACTTCTTGATGGTGGTCAGAAGGAAGCTCGTTCAAAAGTTGACATCCTGGAGTATTTGAAGTTTATTGAGATTAAGTCGCATGCTAATCAATATGGCAAATATATTTGATTAGTATGTTATACTCGAAAGCACATTTCAGAATTTCGGTTGACATTTCATGAAATAAACAATTTACTTTGAGGTAAACGGACTTTGTCTGAAATGTAACTGTACGCACTCGCTGCTACAATTTAGCAAGCATATCTCAGGCCATCCAAGTAAGACGACTGAAATAGTTTGAGCACTTTCTTCGTTATGAACTCAGTGCTTTTGTCCTCGATCCAGCATTGGCGTCGTCAACAAGTGGGCTAACTCAAGATCTAGCTCTCGATACAGTTCATCAAGTCATGAAAGTGGTTCTTGAGTTTTTGATATCCGGTAGCCAACGTTGAGGAAGAGAAATGATTCAACGGTGCAAATCTAGTGCGCGGCGAGGTGCAATACGTGAGGACGGTTAGGTCTGGCATTATAGCAGCCATACGAAGTAGAAGGAAGTAAGTACATTCGAAGCATATGAGGCGGATGTACGATATGGCGAAATTTTCACCGTAATTTTCGATTAGGACAGTGTTCTTAACTCCTGTGCAGCAAAAGCCTAAGAAATTTTTCTCACGTCAACTTTGGAAGAGTTTCTTTTTCGGATGCCTGTCAAATGCACATTCTGCAATTAATACTACTTAAGCAGTATGCATTTGTCCTGTTGATCCTTTACGTCCGTACCAATCCAAATAGTTGACAGAAATTATACGCAAGGTATGTTTCCTGGCCCTATTTGTTTTAGAAAATTACGGGTTCACCAAAATTACCCTTACAGAAAAAGGTAGTTCTCGATTCAAAAAAATGTATAATCATGAAACTGAAAGGCAGGCATCCCAAGAAATGTAATTTCATGGAAAGGCATCCTT